GAGTAAGATTGAATTTTATCATTAGCAACAAATCCTGTTTGTTTTTTCCTTGAAGTAACAGGCTTGTTTTGTCCATTTTTGAGGTGTCTGTAAACATCCACATTTAAATAACCATAGTTTGTTATTATTTCAAGAAAAAATTGTGTTTTGATAAAAGTCCTATTCAGTTCATCATTCAATACTTTTCTTTTTGACATGCTATGTGTGTTCTATATTATTATTATTGTCTGACTTTAAGGAAGCCCTGGAGGTTTGTTTTTGGCTAATGTCTTCGTTGCAGTTTGGATTTCTTACTTTAGCACCATTGGAGAAACAAAACTCCAGCAATGGACAGAATACCAATTGGAAGGTTTCACCAAGCTGAAGCAGCCCTGGAAGTACTCACTCATCTATGTCAGGAAATTTGGAAGACATCTCTATTTGTTCTCATTCCAAAGAAAGTTGACAATACAGAAATTATCGAACAATATCATTGATATCACACGCAAGTACATTTTTGCTGAATATCATTGAACAATGGTTGACTCAGTACATTGACAGGGAGCTGCCAGAAATTCAAGCTACATTTAGAAGAGGATGTTAAACAAGTGGTATCATTGCTGATGTCAGATGGATATTGGCTTCAAGCAGAAAATGCTTACTTGCGTTTTATTGACTGTGCAAAGGCATTCAACTGTGTGGGTCCTAACAAACTATGGATAGCCTTGAGAAAAATGGGAATTCCAGAACATTTCATTGTGCTCATGCAGAAATTGTACTTGGATCAAGAGGCAGTTATGCAAACAGAACAAGGTGGGCACCAAGGTGGTATCATTTCACTCTGTGTGCTGAGCAAATCATCAAAGAATCTGGACTATCTAAAGAACAACATTGCATCAAGATTGGAGGAAGGGTTATTAACAACTTTTAATGTCCAGATGACACATCTTTGCTTGCTGAAACTGAAAAACCTTGACGCACTTGTTGGTGAACATCAAGGATTGCAGCCTTCAACATGGATTGCACCTTAATGTAAAAAAAACCCAAAGTTCTGGACCAATAGATAAAATCATGATAAATGAGAAAAGATTGAAGGTTTCAAAGATCAGGTCTTTATTGGACCCACAGTCAATACTCATGGAAGTAGTATTGGGTAATACTGGTAAACTGGCTGCACGAGGCTCCATCTCACAAAACACACACAATGATGCCGACTGCAGGAGGAAAGCCGAGT